ATTTTCGAATTTTCCTCGATTTCGAAAACACTAAAGCGCTTCGGGACCTTTGAATGGTATTTTCGATATCAACTCGCTATAGAGGTTATTTGGGCAAAATATGAAGAAATCCGAAATTTTACGTCTGTCATCTCATTCTCGATATTTAGAGGAATTGGCTCTTAATTACTTACTTCAAGACTTGCAGCAGGGTCTTTTTCATTGTCGACCCAGGCTATTAGTTAACGCAAAACTATTGCCACAAGTAAGTTGAAATCCATCAGTCAAATTTGTTTAAAAAGAAGATATTCTTCACAGATCGTGCATATGCTAGTAAGAACATCTTCCCTACCTCTGGATTTTATGCCAGTTCCATGACAGAATTATAAGACATTAAGAATTTGCATTTAACAAGTCTGTTGTTTAAATAGCAATCTTCATTGAGGCACGTCTAAATTAAGAAGCTTAAGCACACAGTCGACGTGGCATGCTGATAAGTAAATCTAACTGGAATGTTTTTGGTTTTTTTTCGCTTTTTTCCCACCTATTCGCGGTTACGTTCTCGCCAAAACCAATGTAAAGTTAACGGAGTTAACCAAGAACCTGAAGACATTTTTCCACCTGCATGTACGGTGGCCTTAATTAAAATGGGTTATTAAAAAATAACGACGAATCTGCAGGCATCTGCCTTCCTACGTTGATTTCACTTAAGAATCCAATTAACACAAGTGACGCCAGAGAGTGATAACAAACTATCGTATTAATATCGCAAAAGGCCGCTCGTGCGTCAAAAGTAATTCCAAAGCAAAGATATATGAATCAAATCCACTCTTGAAAACCGCCATGAGCAAAATCCTTCCTTTGTATAAGGAAGGCGTTAATTGGACCGAAAAGCCTTCCAAATCTGCAGTTATAAAGCAAAAATGGAGGGACTTCGTCGAAAACTCCACTCTCCACGGCATGCATTGTATAATTTCGAGTCAAACAACCTTTCGCCGCATTATATGGACTTTGATCCTTTTGGTTGGAGTTGGGTACTTTTCATATCAGTCCTCGGTGCTTTTGACGAAATATCTCAGTTTCCGTGTCACAACAAAGACAACACTTGTATTCGAACAGGAACCCGAGTTTCCAGCGGTCACTATTTGCAATTTTAACATGCTGAGGAAGTCTTTGGTAGAGAAGCACAATTTTACAGAAATCACAGATCAGGTGTTGATGAGCAAAGCTGGAGAAAAAATTAACGACACCACTGACTGGGGTCGTTACAAGGACCTAGACGTCTTCGAAATTTACCTGAAAGCTGGACATGGAATCCAAGATATGTTATTTGACTGTTCGTGGAAAGGCGAAAGATGTGGCCATCAAAATTTCACACCCATTTTAACAACTATGGGGCTGTGTCACACATTTAACTCAGGTAAGATAACAATCGCAACTCACACATTTTCTACTAACGCATTCCAGGAGTCAAGAACTGCTTTTTTTGTTTGTCTCTTTCTAACGTTTTCCTCCATACTAAATAAGTTAAACATATCCCGTTGTCAACTTCAACATGAAATGGAGATGAACGTGATCGGGTAGATTACAAAATATTCCAGAGGAGACAAATGTAACAATTTTCTGATTTTCTTTAAATATGTTGAACGAAAAATCGAAGTTTTTTTTTATTTCATTACTTCTCTCGGAGCAGTAATTTCTCAATCAATTATTAATACCATTTGTGGATGCATTTAAAGATTTGCTTCTTTAAACGTCAATTCTAATGTGTGAAATTTAGGTAATATACAGTGTACATATATGTATATGTTTTTAACCGAAAAAGGTCAACGCTTCTTTTTTTCGTTAACTGTGTTTTTTCCCCACACTGATTAAGCTTAGTTAGTTGCTAAATACACCTGATAAGCATGCCAAATTTAAATTATTTGTATTTTTCTTGAAGAAAAGAAAACAATGTAGCTCTCTGTATGGGGCTAGATTTGTAATTACAATTCAAAGTCGGCCAAAAATTGCAGGTGATAACGACCTATCAATTCTGTTTGCTTATTAAAATGTCTAGCACAGCTCTGACTCTCAACAATCTTAAGTTATTATGTTTAGGTTATGTCAGCATCTGCTATAGTCCATGATATTCATAAAATTTCCTTGCTCAAGCAAAAACTGCATGTTGCACTGATTTTTTTTTGTGTGTGGTATGACATCAGTATGGCATTCGTTTTGCTGGGCTAATTTTGTCATCGTAGATTGTCTGGGAAAATGTCCGAGGACCTCTACAAATTCTTAAAAAGAAAACAACTTTGTAAAAAAATCTGGGAATGAATGAATGAACTTTATTTAA